AAATTACGTTCGTATCCATCTGCTACACGATTAAAAAAATAACTTTAACTGAAATGAAAATGTTAAGTCACGGAAGCTTCAATTTCCGAAGCATATATGTTAAATGTTACATTGTGAAATCCGCTAACTGAACACTTAAACAACTACACTGACTTATTTAAATATGAAAGAAGGCAAAATTACCAACTTCAACGATAAAACACCTCAACTAACAGAATATTGATTTTTAAAGTACAGGAAGAGATAAGAACGGATAACTACGAGTATTGTCGTAAAAAGAAAAATACCTTAAAGACGGATCAAATTTCATTCTCATACCTTAACTACTCGCTTTTTGTGAAGTCACATGTAACCTCGTTATTTCCTAAAACTATTAATTTTTATGTATAATAAAATTCATTTTATATTTATATTCCAAAAAACGCCTTATTATTTTGGGTAAAACCTAAAGTTTCTACGATTTAACTGAATTACACAATTTAACGTTGACATAAACACGTATTGCATATATATATATATATATATATATATATATATATATTATTTGCATAACAACAAAACACATATACATATACGCGAAAATATTTTATATTTTTTTATATTATCGTTTTTATATCGTTCAATGAGTATAAAAACAGCAATGCAATATACTGAACGAACTAAACTTTTACTCACCCTTCCCTTCTCAATCATCATTCTTCTCAGCTTCCAACCAAACATGTTCAGACGTATTCCTATTTTACGTATTATATACATATTTCTACCTCAATTATCTTCTCACATTTGCATTAGACACAATGTTTTATATCTTCTTCTTTAACGACACTCATAAATACACGCACACATATATATATCACTCGCCACTGGTACACACACTCGCGCACATATGCATATTATTTGCATAGCAACAAAACATGCGCGCATATACGCGAAATAAATTTGATACTTTTCTAATATCGTTGTTACGTCTCCCAGTGTTCGAAGAATACTGACACAAGTATGAAAACAACGACGCAGTACGCTGGATGCTCACCGAAATCACCTTTAAGATGAATCGAAGATCGATGTTCTTTCAAATTCGGCAACGAGATTCTTAATAAAATAAAAACAATAACACATTGGAACGTAGACACCGGCTAAGGAGTGGGATATGTATAAACAAAACATTTAACGATATTAAGTCGTTCTCTAAGCACTCGGTTTTCTTTCATCGGTTATTTCTTCGAATTATCCATAATAAGAACATTTCCATAGAAAGGTCAGACTGTTTATATACTTTTAGTATTAACGATAATCGATTGATATATTCTGTATTGTTAAGGTGTATTTCTTGCTGGAAAATGAGTTTTCGAAATAATCTCGCAATGGAATACAATTTTAATATTCCAGATATGTTTTTGTGTGTGTATGTGCGTATGCATGTTAGATACATCTTATCAATGAAATAAGCATATGTACAATAGGATCATTAAAATGTTTATATAGAATTATTTCTAAAACGCCTATTTATTTTAGGCAAACTTAGAGTTTCTACGATTTAACTAAATTATGCAATTTAACGCTGACACATAAACATATATCTATTATACATGCATAGATACGTACGTTGTATGTAACAGAAAACGTAGAACGTTTAAGAGACAATGCATGTGAATTTATTTCTACATGTGATATTATTTCGAATCGTTGTTACACCTGTGTGTTTTAACGAAACACACAATGTTGCTACCACTGTTAGTAGCAATTAGCAGCGCGTGTCTTTTATGCAATACATATCTTACAGCCGACTGAAAACGATTTAAACGTACGACGAGAGATATCAGAGAGCTCTTAACTGGGCCGCGATAAACGATAACACCAACGACGCTCACAATCAAGCGGCTAAGTACGAACACTTGCCTACTTGCATGCAACGAAGCATGGAACTTTGAATAAATATTTCAATTAACTTAAGACTTAACGAACGTGCGAATTTCTAACTCCAGTATCGTCATCATGTGTCTTCCAAATTTTCAGAAAGATGATAAATAATAAGTAAATTTAATAAAAACAACAAAAAATAGATTGAAAGTTAATTTAGGAAGAAGGAGAGGAAAAATAGCAGAGATGATATATCAAAGAAAAGTTTCTTCATTAAATTTGATCGTACGATAAACACCGTAGATTTGGTTGCTGCAGGTGGTGTCGATGATGGTGGCTAAAAAAGGAGAAAGAGAACGAAAAAAAAATGAAAAAGAAAGGAGAAGAAAGGTAAGACGATGACTATGCAAGAGAACGGATGAAGAGGACACAGGGCGAAGGGCCGACGACCGATTTTCACGGAGAAGGTAGCACACGCGAAAGGAAGAAAAAAGATGGTAGAAAGAGAGAGATGAAGAACGGGTTCCCCGGAGAAACTTTTTTTCCCTCCAAATCGCCGATTCGTCGCACTAGCCAAGAGAGAGAGAGGGCCGCACCCGCGTGCCTCTGCATTACAATTTATCACCGTCGTTAATAACGCATACGCCAAGACGAAGAAGATAGTGGAACGTAAAAAAGAAATAAAAGAAGTAGAAAGAGAGAGGGAGAGAGAGAGAGAGAGGGGGGGAGAAAGGGAAAGAGGGAAAGTATCTTATCGTTTACCGCGACGAATTCTTTGATTCAGCACGCGTATCGTTGGAAGAAAGAGACGCTCTTTGACCCCTCAGCAGCCTTTTTGAATGAATGAAAGAGATATCTCCTGGAAGATTGTTTAACTCAGCGCGGCGTACCTTTTCGGACCTCTATGTCGCTTTGTTTTAAGTGTTAAAAGGAGAGGAAGATTTTTGGTATCTTAAGACAGTGAGAGATGTCTTTCAATCATCCGTATTAATCTTTACGAACGACTGAATTTGGAATCTTTAAGACCGTCATCTTTTAAATCCTCGAAATTCGCCGTTTTAATTTCGTTAAGAGATATACGTTCGAATAAAGAAAAAAAAGAAATCTAAAATGAAAGGAAGATCTTTATCGCGAATACTTAAACACGTTGCAACGATGTAAAAATGATGTTCGATAGTAATGCGCGAGCTACGCACATTTTTCATCATTTTTTTTTTTTTTGTTCTTTTTCTCATTTCAAACACAGCTATGACATGATCATAAATATTTATTTAAATATTGAATAAAGTGAACTCGAATCGAATTCCTGAACTGTCTAAGTATGTACTTAAGTATTTCCTAGAAAATAGAAGTTTATTCGAGGAAGGGTCAAGTCACACTGCAAGTACGAGAAATTCGTTTGGTTGATCATAGTAATACCGGTTTATCTGGTTTCCTTTCTCTTTCTTTCTTTCTCCCCCTCTCTCTCTCTCTCTTCTCTCTTTTTCATTTTCTCCTAAGTTTAATTTCTCATTTTTAATCAATATCTCGCACTTCCGAAACACGGATGCGCTAACATAAGAGTCAACGTGCCGACCGGCTCGTAAATCGATTTAGCGTCTGAAACGATAGCTTTTAAGATTTTGCTATTACAAGTAGCAGTGCCGTGATTACGCGCGTAAACTATCAGAGAGAAACAGGAGTTAGGTAAGGAAAATCGATTAGAGATAAACAGAGAAGAGATAGAGAGAGTATAATAGACATTGATCGTTAGAACCAGTAAACTTTCTTCAAATTTGCAGATTATCCTCTCTATTATTATTAAATTTGGATTATTAACCATTTTTGCACTCTTTATTATTTCGATAACTCGATTATTAAAATGAATTGATTTGTTTAATTAGAACGGACATTATATTTGAAAGGAAGAAAATCGTATTTGAAAATTGAATATATTATCAAAGTACCTGAAAGCCATCGATACCAATCAACAAACTCGAACAGTTACGTCCGACCATGAACAATCTCGATGACTATGGCAAAGTTATTTTTTCGTAATATACGCGACCACCAACTCCTTTAAAGTCCGAAGGAAGGATATATACTTTTTGCTCTTATTTCGACGGCTCGATGTACCTCCGACGAATACAAGAGAGGAGAAAGGGAAAAGAAGATGAAAAAAGAAGCGAAAAGAAGGGGTTAACGTACTCGCCACACCCTACCTTAAAGATTGTAAACGATTATTAATGCTTCTCCATAGCTGACCCGTAACCTTATACCGAGTCTTCCCGTCTTTTATGCTCTCTCTCTCTCTCTCTCTCTCTCTCTCTCTCTCTCTCTTATTTTTTCTCCTTTTCGTATATTTTTCTCTTTTTTTTTCTTCCTTCAAATATTCCATATACTTTTAATACGAGTATATATTTAAATATAGCAAAAAAAAAGAAGAAGAAGAAGAAATTTATTCGACATTTCTTTCAATTATAATCTATAATTAATTTCCCATAAAATTTCACTAAGTATAATTTGAAAAGATATGAATTATTCAATACACGTATTCTTATTCGGTAGTCTCTTATAAAATTGGCTCGATATTTGACGACTCGATTCGTTTTACAAAAATTCGTATACGAAACTCGCAATGTCACGCGATATCTCGAATATAAAGATAAACTCGCTTCCTTCCATGGAAGGAAACAGGCGGCACCGAAATTATGCAAATCGCATGTTTGCCCGCGCGTAAACATAAGTGCACTTCGATAAGAAACGCATACCTCCATTCAAATAATTCAAGATCAAGCGGTTGTTTCTTTCCAAAGCGAGAAATCGTTCGCTAACGATTCTGATACCTGCTACGATTGCCAATTTCCATTTCTTTTATGTGCATGCATTCAATCTACCACATTATTATTTTTATATTTATTATATTTTTAGTGTTATTTATAGTATAATACTCTTAAATAAAAATAATATAATAATTAAACAGATATTAATAATAGCAAAAAAAGAATAAGAGTTATCGCTTAAATAAAATTTAGTATAAGATAAATATGATTTCAAATTGATACGAACTAAAGAAAAAAAAGAAAAGAAATTCTATAAGTAAGATCGTAAGTATTAACTTACGATCAAGAATGTTAGTTTAGAAAATTAAGATGACTCACCATGAAAACCATGAACCTTGATTGCAGGTTGGCGTTCCCGATGTAAGTCAGTCACTGCACTCGCCCGTTTACTATTCGCTCCCTTTCTCTACTTCCGATCGTTTTCCTCTACTTGAAGATGTCTATTGTTACACTTTTCACTCCCGAAAAGATCGATTGATAGATCTCGCGTGAGACAAATTCTAATCGCGACTGTAATTATTCTAATTCGCTAAATTATTCAAACGAAAAGTTAATTATTGTTAGCACAATCGTTTGTCCTTTGTGATAAGAAGAGAAAAAGAAAGGACGGAAATGCGAGTAAATTGAGAAATATTTTTTTCTCTTGTTATTTTTTCTTTTTTTTTTTGTTTCTTGTTTTTTGTTTGTTTGTTTGCTTACGAAAACACGGTAATTAAAGAAAAAACAAAATTCACTCGCGCTTCGATTCGATGATACGAATTCTCTAATCACGTTAGTGTTTCACAGTCACCAAGAATATGTGGATAACAAATCACTTACTAATTCAACTAGCTAAGTAACATATTAATTAGTTACAAATAGAGATACATCTTCTTCATCCCTGGCATCCGATTGGCATGTTGGCTCGAATATTGTGGTCCTTGGATCACCTGAAAAAAAAAACCAAATATAATTAGACGCTGTTCTACATAACATAGACGAAATCTTACGACCGACTAAATTGTTCTTAACACTAAACGTATCATAATTGATCAAATGGGGACAATTATAAAATTTTGATCAGAATTTTTGTATATTCAATGAGTCCAGAATTCCTAATATGCATAAATGTGATATTTTTTATTATACAGTACATATATCATAAAATATATTACTTTTTGAAGATGGAGTAGAAATAGATATACATAAAGCATCTGTACGTTTAATGTTAAAAAAAAAATACAAGAATACGTATAAACAAATTTTATATAACATTGTTTTATTTAAGATCATTCGAAGGAGGAAACGAAGATCATGCAAAAATAAGAGATAAAAAGAATAAGAATAATAAGAAGAAGCAAAAGAAAAGAAAGAAAAAGATAAAAAATACGTGACGGATCGGACAAAATAATGAGACGAGTGCAATGTTGTCTCTTTTTCTCTTTCTATCTAAAGTAGGGCGCGGTCAAGTATAGAGGGCCGGGCCCATGACGCACCCGGTCTTTATTTAAATCATTCGATCCGTCACGCCGTAATCGATTAGCGCTAATAGCCGGGGAAATAGAGTCGAGCGTAGCTTCGAGACGCGGTTGCCCGTTCATGATAGAAAGAGAAGATAAAATAGCGGCAATATCGATACAAACGTATCGATAGACGCAACCGAGTTAAAGGATTAGATTCGGTAAATCGATGCTCGCTAGCTTCCTAGACATCTTCCTTCGAAGTTTAGTCTTGTTGAAAGGCGAGCATGCTCGTTGAATTTTCTTCTCTATGATCTAATATATTATCGAAAGGAGATCGTTTCATAGAATACTACGTTTCTATTGGTAAGAAAATCTTAGAAATAAAGAAAGAGAGAGAGACATATATATATATATATATATATATAAATATATTTATACATGCAAATATGTATGTATCTGTGTGTGTATGAATGTGTACAAATAACTTCAACGAACGATCTAGAGAGACTAGACGAGATGTTATTTCATCCACCTCCGCGTGGCAACGTGGACTGTCTGTAGAGTGCGAATAAAAATGGCCATCGTACTTTGAAAGTGCACTTTCACGGCACGTTTCTCGTAACGGCAACCCTTGCAATACGTAATACAACCGAACGGTTCTACGCAAAGTATCGGCATACGTGGATAGATATAAGTACGTATATAGAGATATCGAGCCGGTTACTTTCGTATCAAAAGCACGAGCACGCTTGTGTGTTAGACTGAGCGTAAGAGCGCGTTAAGAAAAATGTGGATAATTGTATACTAAACGAGTCCACCTACATTACGATTCTATGTGCCATATTGGCTTCAAAGTATGCGAGTCAACGCCAAAATACAACTTACTGACTATTTTTCCGTCTCTTTCTTTTTTTTTTTTTTTTTTTTTTTTTTAATTTTATTTCCCGTACGACGAACGTCCGGTAAATATCATTTGTATATTAGATATTCTCAACTTACATATGTACAAGTTCATTCGTTCGACGAACCGAATGATGAGGAATACATTATTTATTTCCACGTGCTCGGTGAACTATGCCCTTTAAATTGTCCATATGTTGAAACTTAATCTTTATGAAGAATTCAAGAAACATCGTGTTGTACGATCGTACATTCGGACGAGTAAACTTTTTCTCTCTGTCTCTCTCTCTCTCTCTCTCTATCTATCTCTTTCTCGTACTTCTACGACGATAAACGCAAATTTTCCCCGTGTATAGTATATAAGTATAGACCTAGTGGTAGTGTACTATAAGTTCAAACTATAATAAAAGTTTTATTATTCCGGTGGAACGGAAAAAATGCTACGATTAGAATCGACCTCGTGCCTCGAGTACTTTGTTGCGATGTCGATGAACTACAAGAGAGAAAAAGAAACAGAGAAAGAGAGAAGAAAATTCTTCTTTATCGTCCAAATTTCTTAAACAAATCTAAAAAAAAAAAATCAAGTGCAGTGCCAAAGAAAGTAAGAGAAAGAGGGAGAAAGAAAAGCAATAGAAAGAAAAGGAAAGTCGAATGGAAAGCATTAGAAATTCTACAAAGTGTCACGAATCCTGCTCGATTAACATATCTCCTAATTAGAAACAGCAACATTCTTAAGAGTTGCCGACGATCTAAACAAAGTTTCAAACTTGTCTAGCGAATCTCACGAGAAACGAGAAGTTTGTTTAGCACGATCGTCCCTCGACATCTGTGAAGCACGTACACTCGTTCTTCACGATCGACGCCGAGTCTGCCCATCGATGGACCGATGGAACGCGTTAATTGAGTTGCACGTAGAGAGAATACATCTCGGTACTGACGACCAACCGAATTCTTTACAGTTACAGTATATGTATCTTTCTTTTTTTTTTTGCACTTTATTTTTTTTTTTTCAACCGACACACATGAACTATTAGTCAACGATTTAACGAACAAAAACAAAACCTACTTCGCTAGTACGAATTTTAAAAGAGACAAACATAACTACTCTTTTTAAGTAATTAAATTAATTAATAAATTGAAAAAAGAATGAAATAATGTCTATTGAAACATAATCGTAAATCGCGACGATAGATAACAGTGTCATTGATCGAAACTACTTCGCTATCTCTTTATTGAGATCCCACGAATCTCAAGCGGTAAGCCACCAGGACTCTCAAGTTTCGTTAGTTGACCGGCTAGCGATTGAATTAACAAGTTTTATGGACATTAATGAACGCGATTGCAAGTACGAGGTTAGGTTAGCCGAGTCAAGAAAGAGGAACACACGATTCCACCTAACAGAGGAAACAGAACGCAGCTATCTTTCTATCTATCTATCCATCTATCGATATATCAATCGATCCGATTTACCGTAGCTCGTTTCATAGTAAGACTGACACATCGGTGACCGATAAAGCAAACCGAAGGCGTCGAAATCGTAATCGATTGATCGATCTTGATCTTAAATCATGAAAGATTGAAAGGGAGGACGAGCCGCACGAGGACTAACATGCCACAGTGTTGACTATTACGCGAAACGACTTTCCACTTAAAGATTGTACCTTACACCACTTGGACTCCCTATACTCTGGACTTTTAATTGAAAGGTTACGAAAGCATCGTAGTTTAATGAACATCGATAACGAACTGATTTAACGAGATAGGTGTATACAGTACTTGATAAGAAAATAAAATAAATAAATGAATAAATATATAGATCGGTTTTCCGTCCGATGAAAATGTTCTATATTGATCTATTTATCTTCTCTAAGAAAATGAACGTGAAAAAAGAAAAACACGTGACTCGTATACCAACATTCATATACATTCAAGATAGATACATCTATACACGCATCTACTACTATCTTATATTAGATAAATATTAACACGATAAAAAATAATAATAAAGTAAAAAAGAGGTCTCAAATAGAAAAGTTAAATATAGAATAATAAAGATAATTAGACCGTATAAGTGTAACTATGGAGTAAAATTGTAAGAGAATGGCTCGACGGGGTCCACGTGGTTGCATGCTCGCGCGTAGGATGGCCACCACAGCTGAGTATAAATACACGCTCTTCTATAGCTCTTTATGAATGGAGGAGCACGCGTGCGCGACCACTGGAACGCTGCTCGTACGAGCAGCGAAAGTGACCTGCTCTCTAGGCTCTCTACCTACCTACCTGTTTTAGTGCGAAGGCGATACAGAAATCGGTAATACGCGCTCGCTCGCTCGCTCGCTTACTCGCACACTTGCTCACGTGAGCTACCTTAGAACTGCTCTGGATAATTGCGGAGCAAGGTGGACGCGTCAGGAGTGCACTGCTCGACCGCCAGTGGCGGCGAGTGTGAAACGCTCCGCAGGGTGCCACGAATGCCGATCAAACGCAATTTCTCTCGGAAGAAGAAGAAGAAGAAGAAGGAGGAAGAGAAGGAAGAGGAAGAAGAAGAGAAGATCAAACGCGAGAAAGAAATAACCTTTTATTTAACTCTTTTTATATATATTAAAGAAATGTAGGTATTTTACGACTAGAGAAGGGAAGTTGATGGACGAACGATAAATGATTCTGTGTTTGTGTATGTGTGTGTGTGTGTGTGTGTGTTTAGTATGTGCCAAGAAAAAACTTTGATTTCTCGACTGTGCTGGGAAATAATTTAACGATCAAACGTATTGCACGTAGAAGGATTGTTATCCATGTCGCTAATAGTTGTACTAACGACCTAAAGTTTCCGTTAGGAGAATCAGTACGATTATAACCCCACACGTAATAATCGTTCATCATCCACTAGCATTGAAAGTAAATGGTTTACTCGGTGTCGAAACATTGATACCAATAACGTTAATAAACTAAGTTTAACGAGTAATATACTCGAGAATTACGAGCGTATACTCGTAATTTCTATTTCGAATTGGAAGTTTCTCAGATTGTATTATTGTATCGGTCTTAGATGAAGAAAATGATTCTCAAGGAGTTAGGAATTATCATGTAAGTACCTATATCAAGAAGATCATGAGGTTTTTAGTCGTTAACAAGAAATCACATCAAGAAACATCTCGCTTACGATGGACGACGATTGCTAAATCAAAATCGTTCCAAATTGGAAGCTGCCGAATGAATAATGAAGTGAGAAGGTAACTGGGCACGCTTCGGAACAGTTCGTCCTACACCATCGATCACTGCCTATCTTTTCTTCGTCATTTATTTTCTTTTTCCCTCTTCTCCTCTCTGCTTTCCACTGCTCTTCCTCCTTCTTCTTATTATTGGCAATCACAAATCTTCTAATTCGATCAATCGATTCGTAGTTCGAAAATGATGCCATTAGTCGATTTACTCTCGTCGATGGATCCATCAGAAGCGTGGCAAACGATAGACCAGTCGTTTGCCAACTACATCGTTTCTATACTTACCCATATTACATCGAGATGCCATTTTCGCAATTAACCTCAGCGAAAGGATTGCGTAATCTTTAGCGGCCATTTCGTCCGCTT